CACAAGTTGGTGAGATGCAGCCAGAGTGTTTCTTCAACACAAGTATCGTGGCACGAGTGGTGAACAGTGACGGAAGATACAAAATCAGTTAGCTAAGCTTCCAGATCAAACTGGGGGGAAACAAAACAACACAGAATGAAGCCAATACAAGGAAGTAGGAGCATGCAGTGAAAGTAAACGTAAAAATGAATGTGATAAAAAGTAAACATTTGAATGATGGAGAAAATTGAAATGCAGCTATTTGAAGGGCTACTCGCTTACTACGGACACCTAGAATCTTTAATTTGCTGTAAACCCATACAGTGAGTTTTTTGTTTGAAATGTTATTTTTCATATGCTTCTTTTTGTTTAAAATTTTTTGAAGCAGCATTGGATTGCAACCATTTATTGCTTCCAGCTGTATAAGATTATACTTTAATATGCTACATCATTATTTCTTCCAGAAATCTAGCTTTCACTCACCCACAGTTGGGCCACACCCCCGTTACCTGTTTTGCCTGCAGTTTTCCTCTGTCAGTTTGTCAGAATTAAGGGTTTGGTTTGGTTTTGCTTGTGCAATTTGTCTGTTTCGTTATCTTCTGCATATGTGTGGAATCATACAGCATGCCTTCCTCTAGTTGACTTATTTCACTTACTATAATCCCCTTGAAGCCCATTGTGTTGCAAATGGCACAATTCCATTGGCTTTATACATGGTTAGGGTTGTATATCACAATACTAGTTGAGATTTTTTTTTATTTATTTATGCATACAGGAATCAGGGTGTAAGCCAGAGGGGGGGCGAGAGATGGAGTGGGGAGCAGAACAGGCAGATCTCCTGAAACACACTGCTGAGGGGAGAAACTGATGAGACAGGAGAGGTCTGCTGGGCCATGTGTGGGTCAGTCCCTGGCCAGGAATTCAAATCAGGCTGCAGCAGTGATAGTGTGGTTAACACTGAGACTTAAACCTCCTATGCTAACAGGGAGGCCCCATAAGCAAGATTCTTGAAGATTATTTAGGTTGATTCTAGAATTCACATGAAGTACAAAAGACCCAGAATGACCAAAACAACAACTTATACCAAAAAACTTTGAGGACCTTCACTACCCAATGTCGAGACTTAATAATTATTTAAACATTTATTTTTTTTAATTAGATTTATTTGTGCATACAGAACTGGGGTACAGGCCAGAGATGCGGAGGGTGAGAGGCTTCACCAGAGACAGAGCGGGGAGCAGAGCAGGCAGATGGATGAAGCACACTGCTGAGGGGAGCAGCGGGCGGGTCAGGAGAGGTCTGCCGCGCCCTGTGGTCACCTCCGGGGCAGGCAGGGATCGAACTCATGCAGAAGTGGCTTTAGCTTCTCAGTGCTGTGCTTTAACCCGCT